GCGCCCCCGGCATCCAGCGTCGTGCGTCGGTGCGGGGCGGTCAGCAGACGGCCCCGGCTGCTCTGGCCGGTAGCTCTCAACGGGCGCGTCCTCCAGGACTTTGAGCCCTTTTCAAACCTGGGGACGCCTCGTCCGGTGGCAGCGAGTTCACCTACAGGACGTGTGAAAGAAGCACTTCCTCTGGTTTGATTTCAACCTGCCCCCATAACTTCCCCGCAGCCCTGGTGGAGTATCTGGTGCGGTGGGACCTGGTGGAGAACAGGCCCCGCGCACTGGCCAACGGGCGCGTCCTCCAGGACTTTGAGCCCTTTTCAAACCTGGGGACGCCTCGTCCGGTGGCAGCGAGTTCACCTACAGGACGTGTGAAAGAAGCACTTCCTCTGGTTTGATTTCAACCTGCCCCCATAACTTCCCCGCAGCCCTGGTGGAGTATCTGGTGCGGTGGGACCTGGTGGAGAACAGGCCCCGCGCACTGGCCACATCCTTCAGGATTTCGTAGCCCCCTTTCGCGTCCCCCCGGCCCTCTCCTCTCCAGACTCGCGTCCTAGCCTTCCCTCGTGCGCCAGCACAGCACCTGCTCCAGACCTTGATCTTCCTGCTTGCCCTTCTCTGAACCTTTTCTAAGTCTTCCATGTCCTTTCCGAGGTGCCCAGACCAGGACTGCAGCGTTCAGGATGTGGGCGCGCCATGGGCTTGTATCATGGCATGTCCATGTTTCTGGTTCCCCAGGCTGGTGTGACCAGCCGTGTCGCTTGCTTACCAGGCGAGGCGGTTCTTCTGCTCTGCTCAGCACGGGTGAGGCCTCCCCTGGAGCCCTGTGTCCGTTTTGGGGCCCTGCACGTCACAAGGCACGTGGAACGATTAGGGAGAGTCTGGCGAAGAGCAGACGACATGATGCGGGGCTGGGAGGCAACACTGATGGGGGAAGACTGGAAGACCCGGGATGCTTTAGTCTGGAGAAGAGACGACCGAGGGGAGATTTGATCAGTCTGCAACTCCCTGAAGGCTGATTACGGAGAGGAAGGAGACGGGCTTTCCGTGGCCCCAGGGGACAGGACTAGGGCGGTCAAGCGTTGGAGCAGGCACCCAGAGCAAGTGGGAAATCCTGGTCCCTGGAAACAGGGACGATCCTGCCTTGAGCAGGGGCTGGACTGGATGTGACCTCGGGAGGTCCGTCCCAGCCCGGCTTCCCTGTGATCCGATAAACATTTTATATTGGCTTTTTGGGTCCCCGGTGCACACGGAGCTGCCGTTTCTAGAGCGGTCTCTACAATGACGCCGAGGCCTCTTCACGGAGGCGTGGCAGTCAGGTACGTACTGTGGCGGGCCAGTAGGGGGCGCTCCTGCGTTGAGCCGCCCACCTCCCTGCCCCCGACCACCGTCCAGGCTCCGAGTGCCTCCCTGGGGTGCCTCCCGTCCGGCCGACCCCTTCCCTGGAGCACACCCG